ACCCCATCTTCCTTAATGGTCACTGAGCTTTGGGTTGGGGAGGAGGGTATAGAATATTAGTTTCTGTTAGGGATGAACATTCTAGAGTCTCCTATTCTCTGAACGTAGTTCAGTTGTGGGCCAGCATTTTAATCACCACCTATTACAAACACAAGCAATTTGGATGAGAGTTGATATACTGATCTATTGATACATGAGTTCATTTAATACTATGCCCATTTAGCAGAATAATAGTAGTGGGCTCTCTACTAGGACATATGAACTGTCTACCTACAGGTACTTAGCTTGATTATGGCTCCAAGTATGGGTTTCATCTGGTGAAACAGGTCTTAAATCCAAGCAGAAAGTGATTGGTTACTCCCATGATGTTTTGCCACTATAGTACTACTTGCCATGTCTTGCCAGGTCAGTCATTATTATGAGTTTTGTAGCATGTTAAGACTGGTGATTATTTTTATCTTCTGGTAGCATGGAAAGCATCTTTTAGCACTATGAATACTAAGCCATTGAGGATAAAGATCCATACTAGCTTGATTTCTCCATGTGCCATGATTTAAATATGTGGTGTCTTCAGCAACAAAGTCTTAAGGACAACAGATATTCATATACCTATTATTTGCCTCATACTTCCTTGTCTGGGAGAATGATTGCTTAGGGAACAGAATCCACTAGGACAAGTTCTCTGTCAAACACATAATCCTTCCTTGTCTTTGACTAGCCAGCCTTTCCTTTTGAAATATATTTTTATTCTTGTACAGTTTCATAGCATACATTATGTGCTTTTAATAATATTTATCACCATTATTATATTATACCATTTCTACTTACACTGAACACATTACTTTCCCCCAAAAAGTCCCTTACCTTGTTTCAGGACTTTGGAACTCACTGAGTTTAATTAGGCTTCCCTGTATTAGCATAGGTCTGGGTTTATTTATTTGGAGACTGGTCAACTTATTACTCCTCTTCTCTCAGCCACAATTAAGTGCTTTTTCAAGGAGGGGCCTGGTAAGCTCTTCTCCCATTGTACTGCAATATTAACTGTTTCAAACATGTAAAGGTCTTATGAAGGTAACTATAGCTGATATATAACCAGCTTTTTCAGTTTTACATATGAAAAGCCTTAATGTCATATTGACATAGTCTTGATTTCTATTTGCTCATGAATCATCTCCCTAACCTCCAAGAATTAGTCAATCTTTCCTAAGACTTGCTTTTAGGTTTCTTAAATGGTAATAATAATATGCACCTCCTTCATTTATAGGGAACATGGAAATGAAAAAACTTACATGAACTTCATTAATACCCAGATAAAATTATCTTTGATCATTTAATTTTACCTACATAACTCATTTCATGTTTTCCAAGAAGACTTCACTGTCAAGTGTTTTGAATTGATGAGTTTTTGTGTAGTGAGATAAACAAAAAATATCTAATGTTCATTAGATAATCTCTAAATATACATCCAAGTAACCCAAACAGGTTATAATTGAAATAGCCCTGGCTAACACTCACTTTCACTGAGGTGTTATCGGAGTTCTGCTCTGTGTATTCCACAGGCCATCTCAATAAGGCATATGTAAGCAATTCTATTTTATAAAAAAGGAAACTGAGGCCAGAAATTTATAAAGATTAGTCTTTTATCCAAGATAGCAAAGCCAAATAGCCAATTCAGGCAGCTTGCTCTCTAAAACTAGAATGTGCTTTTGTTATATGTCCCCAGAATAGCAGTGATGGGAATTATGGAAGAAAAAACTACAAAACCAAGGCTCTCAAATACAAATGTTAGAGGACTCTCTTTGGCCAGCATTCTTTGTGTAATGAGCAGAATAATAAAATAAAAAAGCATATTTCTTTCCATAGCCTCTGCACTGCTATGCAAAGTATTGTAGTATTATGCTATGTAATATTAATGGACGTGGAAAAGAATTTTGAATAATTCAGATACCTCTAGGGAAGCAACTTCAATATTTCTTATTTTATACGCTTTTGGTCCCTTGACCCAGTCCCTTTGAAGAAGAAAATGACCAGGAATGGTTGACAAATTTAGCAGTGAACAAATTGAAGAAAAAAATAATCCAAACACCAGAATGTCACATCTGGACTTGCTTAGAAGGAAATTTACTCCTGCACTTCCAGCAAAATATGAGCATGACAAATATGATTACCTGGAAACAACAGATATCAAAGATATTGTTTTGTATAATAAGGCATATAGCTATTTTGAAGACCTAATTATTGATTTCTATTACTACTAGTGAGGAAAATGCTTATTTATTGGGTTTTCTCTTGTTGGATTGCAATAACCACATATATTTTTTCCAAACTGTTCAATATTATGAGCTGGGATTTACCAAGTATGGAAATGTTTCAATATAATATCACATGTATTAAATATTTTCTTTACTTAAATGATTCTTTTTAAGAACTTGTAAAAGGGTTAGGGCAAAAAAAGGAAGATCAAAACCATTAATGGGCAAATACAAATTTCTGGGCAAGTATTGTATTACCATCCTATCCTTGAAAACCAAATTCATATGAAGAAAAATTGTATTTTGAGCATAATGTAACTTTGTGAGTATGAAATTTCCATCCTATTTCATAGATTTGATAAAGAGAGATAAATGAGAACATAGCCGGGCTACAAATGAAATTGTTTAGCCAAACATATCTTGTCAGAATTATCCTAGTGGCAGCCGTAGCAACTCTAGGAATTTTCAGAAGTGAAAGTCCAGCTTGTGCTTTAATACCCAGCATCACACATTTCAACAGACTATTTAAATTAGAATTGGTTCCTTATGCTGCAGTTATTTATAAGGGTCTCATTCATAAAAGACAAAGGCTTAGAAAAACAGTTATTCAAATCGCTAGATATTGGTCAAGAAATACATACTTGCCCTCCAGTCACTCAATTGTAATATATATAATGAAAAATATAAACAAAAAGAGGAAAAAAGATTGCAAGTGATAATGAAAACTTTGTATTTGATGTTGAACAGATATTGCAAAATATATTAATTCTACTTTTTGGGAAAGGAAGTTATTTCTCATTATCAAAATAACAAATGACTAAGAGTCTAGTCATATTTGCATAAATATCTTTACAAAATTTTCATATTTTTTCAGACAAGAAACAATGCACTTGCATACTCATACAACCTAGTAGAGAACTGTTAAGGTACACTTTGGGGAAGTAAAGTTCTGATAACATCAACTGAACAACTCACTGTTGGCTATTACATTATTATTGTCATGCTGATTGCACAAATGACATATTGAATTCTAATGTAGAACTATAGAACCTACATTTGTTCTTCTTTATCCAAATTAGTAGTTTCTTTCAAAATCTGTTTCTCTTTTTCCTGGGCTCAATACTGGTACTACTTTCACACTATCATTACAGACATGGGCTCATGTCACATGACACAAACAAAAGACTATAAAAATGAGTGCATATTGCTTTTAGTGCTAACTCATGACAAATTCTCATGAGCAATACTCATTCCATATCTGCCTATTAAATGCCTGAGATGTTCAGATACAAAAAACATGGAAGAAAAATGGGTTTCCATATGATTTCATAGCTGGCATTTTGGGACTATAACAGAATAAACAAGTAAACTTTTACTATTGAAAGCCAGCAAGATGTTAGAGTTCACTAGTCATAGTGATGAATGTTGTTCATCTAGTTCATTGTTTTAGATACAAATTCATAGTTCAAACAGCAATCAGAGTTTAGGTTTCCCAACTGTGAACAGGCTATGTAAATTAACATCATAAAAAATGAAAGAGACAGTGTCTCTAAGGAAGTAGATCAAGCCATACATAGTTGTAGAACATAAATATACTTAGTTCTAGTGATCATGTTAAAAACAGAAAAAAAGAAGAGGTGAATTACTCAAAGGAACAGGTTGCTAAACCTTAAAGGGACTTGCAAACTCTAAACTATGTTCTTTGTTTTGAAAGCTTGAACAATTTGAGTAACTTGGAACCCAATTACTTATATACCAAAAATCACTGTAAAATTATATAAAATGACTTTGTAAAAACTTTATATGTACAGGTAAATTTTTCTGCTATTGATAAGGTAACTAATAAACAATTGCTATTAGAGGGATACTGCAGACAGACATTAAAGATAGTCCAAGCATGGGAGCTAGAAAGATGGGTCAGTGGTTAAGAGTGCTGGCTGCTCTTCTAGAGATCCTGAGTTCAATTCCAAAGATAGTCCAAGCAACAAGTGTTGGCTTGGCCAAACAACTAGGACTATGAGAAAGAGAGAGAGAGAGAGAGAGAGAGAGAGAGAGAGAGACTGGTATAATTAAGGACGAAGTAACCCTCCACACTGTGATACTGTGTTCACCACATTCACCATGCAATGTCTTGAGACTACATAAGTTGTAACTTCACAATAATCATAAATTTTCAATTCATTGCAGTTATATTCAGTTATTGGATGACTTTTTATACTGAAAATATTCCTTGAAATAGTTACTGAAAGGTTCAGACTTTAACGCTGATTAGCTCTACCTCTTTAAGAGACATACCCTGCCCCCTGACAACAGTCAGGGCATACACAGGAAAATGTGCTTTGTCATCATCATGTCATCGGCCCATGAGGACTCTGGGCATGCGTGGAACCTTAGTGTGCATGCACAGTCTTTCTACTCTCTCTCTCTCTCTCTCTCTCTCTCTCTCTCTCTCTCTGCTTCTGCTTTGCTCTCTCTTCTCCCACCTATATGCTCTCTCTACCTCTCTATGGTGACCAGCCATGGCAGTCAGCCATTACCTCTGTTCCTCTTTTCTCTTAGTCTCCTTACTCTGCCGGGCCATATAATAAACTAGCCAATATGTCTCGTCTTGCAGCCTCCTCTTTCTCTTTTTCTACAAAAACATAACAGTTACCATATACAAATATTTCACATTTTCTATATTTTGAGCTGTTACTGAGAGTTTCATGCATCTGGCCTTAACTTTGCCTTGTTCATTAAGAGACTTACTTCGATCAGTAATGATTGTTCTAGCTTCTTGATTGCTGGTTTTGTTTTTCAAATTCTGGGCAGCAGTAATGAGTTCTTCCAATTGGGGGCGCCTCTGTTCCAAATCTTGTAGTGTTGCCTGAAAGAAGAAAATATCTCTTGCATTGGCAGTTCTCCAGCATTGTATATTCCTTTTATACAGCATAAAGGAAAAGTGCTATTTTCAAATAAGCTAAAACACTTCTAGAAATAAAAAGATGTAACAGGATATGAATCTACAGTTTTTAAGACTTTATAGAAAATAACTGAATGTGAAACATGTTTCATTCTTAGACACACGATGATTTCAAATAAAAATCTTATTAGAGACTTGCTTCTCTACCTAAGAATTAAGATGGTGTAACTTCAGAGCCTTTGGGGTTGTGTAAATGAATTTCTAATAAATGTAATTTTGGTTTATGACTGTATATTGTAAAAGGGTTAGTTATATTTGTAATCACATCAACCTGCAAACTTAACATGAATATATATGTTTGAAACAGAACAATTTCATATATCATTTAAGATACATTATTTTACTCCTTTGTAACTGAAACTTTTACATATAAAATGAGAAGGTGATATAGATGAACTGTAGCAAGTATCTTTAAAGTTGCCTATCTATAAAAATCACCAAACTTCTTTGATCTATTTCAGACTTACTGAATTAATAAAGTGACTGCGATATTAATTTTTAATAAATTAACTACTTCATTATATGATAATAAATGGTTGGATTGCATCACTTAAACTCTATCCCCCAGAGTTGTCCTTTATATAAATATTTTGGTGTATATGTGCTTTATGGGCACATGCAGGTCATAGTGTCAGGTGTCCTTCTCTATCACTCTCTACCTTAGTACTTTGAGATAGGGTCTTTCCAAGAATGTATAGCCCATTATTTTTAGATGTGCTGTCAACCACCAATCCTCAGTGATTCTCTTTATCCCCTGGAAGATGGAATCCTGGAAGCTGGAATGCAAACTCTAATCTTCATGGTTGTGCAGGAAGCACTCTTAACCATTGAGACATCTCTCCAATCCTCATATAAATAATTTTAATTTAATACTGACTTTTGTAATACCATTCAAAATGATAAATTCAACATTAAACCCACTTCAAATGTGAATCAGTAATCACTTCCTTATGTCTTCAAACACCAATCTCCTCTACTTGCCATCTTCGTCTTGATATTCAATTGCCTAAACCTTAGAAATATGACCAAAATATAGGAAAAATTTCAATCTACCTTGTTCTGGTTCTAAAACTTAATACATTTTATTTTTATTTGGTGAAGGAAACCATATTTTCTATCTATTAACAACTACTCTGACAGATGTTGTACATGCATATCTTATTTTTCTTTGTATTTTGACCTTAGGTCTCTAGACTATCTATTTTTGGGTTCTTGGTCACCCTAGAAACATCAGGTAGGAGGTCCATGTAATGAAGTTGTCCTTAAGTGAAATGAGATTTTGGTTGGTTACTCCCACAAAACTTGTGCCCGCATTGCACTAGTATACCCTTGCAATCAGGACCAGAGAGTTTGTGGCTGTGTTGGTGTTTATTTTCAGAGTACCTTCCTGTACTAAAGGCACTAGAACATTCAGGATTATGTAGCTATCTTGTTGGTTTTTTTGTGTGTGTGGTCAGGAGTGTTTCCATATGAACCTGAAAATCATTTTTAAAGATCTGTGAAGAATTGAAGAGCTGTTCGAATTTGGTGTGGATTGCCTTGAATCTGTAGCTTCTTTTGGTAAATTGGCCATTTCTACTATATTAATCCTACATATCTTTTTTTGTTGTTGTTTTTTCGAGACAGGGTTTCTCTGTGTAGCTTTGGAGCCTATCCTGGCACTCGCTCTGGAGACCAGGCTGGCCTCGAACTCACAGAGCTCTGCTTGCCTCTGCCTCCCGAGTGCTGGGATTAAAGGCATGCGTCACCAACGCCCGAGCATGGGACATCTTTCAATCTGATATCTTCTTTAATGTATTTCTTCAAAGACTTGGAATTATTCCCATACAGATCTTTCACTTGCTTGGTTAAAGTTACCCCAAGATACCTTATATTATTTGAAGCTATTGTGAATGTTGTTGCTTTCCTGATTTCTTTCTCACTGCATTTGTCAGTTGTATATAGGAGAGCTGATTCTGATCAGCTATAAGAATTTCTGATGGAATGTATAGGGTCACTTATGGATACTATCATATCATCTGCAAGTAAGGCTATTTTGAGCTCTTCTTTTCTAGTAAAAGTGAAGACCTGCAATTAGCCTATCCATTTCCTTGTTCAGAGTGACCTATTGGCCCCCAGGAAGTGCCGGTTGGGGTTGGGGGCTTGGATAAGGCAATGAATGGGGAATGGGATATTAGGAGGGAAAGATTTATGTGATCTACTGGAGAGGGGGGTAGAGGAGAAGGGAGGGTACAACAGATGATGTACTGCAGAAGAGCTGAGCCTGAGATTGGGGGATTGGATTTAGAGAAGCAAAGAGAGAAGTGATGATCTACGGTTAGCCTATGTGCGTCCCTGTTGGGAATGCATCTCTTATTTATATTCTCTTAATAACTAAATTAGACATTGTCAGACTTTAAATGTGATGAAAATAAAAGTGAAGAAATCAAATATGGTACATAGTAATATTTCTTATCTCTTATTCCCTTTGATACCAAATAATTTCTTCAGGATTTTGGTTTTGGAATGCGCCAATCTGCATCTCCTTTGTGAATAGGTAAGGAGATCAGTATTGAGATTTAGTCTCAATGAGTTCTTGTAATATTAAATAGTATGAGAAACTTATTCCAATAATGTACATTTATTTAGAGTACTTTTCTTTGTGTTTCAAAAAAATCAGAGGGGCTAGCATTTAACAAGACTTCTGCATTTGTAAGTTGTGATTGCTCAGAAGAAAAATCCAATTTTCAGGTTTCTAGCTTTTATGGTTTCTTTATATAAAAGTGTGTTTGAAATATGGAACAAATTGCCAAAGACAGCTACTGAAGTAAGTAATGTAAGTAAGCAGGACAGTGCTGAACAAAATTTAAAGTAGGAACAACAATTGCAGATAGATTTTATAAAATAAGACATATTCCAGGGTTGGAATGCTAAAAGTTGCTCATCTGTAACACAGTAAGTTGAAAAGTTGCATTAGTATGATCTGTTTTCGACAGCAGGATTATGGTTAGTAGACCATATATTTTTTAAATGCTATGCTAAAACTACAGATAATGCCAAACACTTAGCTTAAATTTGATAAACAAATACATGTAGTTACAAGGATATAAATTCATCCATTCATTTACTTCTTCAATTATTTTAGTACATGCTGTTTTTTTCCAAATCTTAGATATTCTAGGGTCTATGGATGTGGCAGTGAACAAATGTATTTGTTATGGTTGCATATCTAGTGAAAAGTATTTTAATAATTGAAAGGTTTTCTATAAGAATTAACTATCAGATTGTCTTTGTGATTTCATATTAGTTCATGCTCAATTGTTGGTAGCATTCTTTGCTTTTGACTTGCAGGTGTATTTCCTGATGCTTGTTCTACTTTTGTTACTTCTAGGATTTTCAACTTCCTTTGAGAAGTGTGTTGTAAAAGTAACTCCGTCAACTTTCACTTGAATTTTCGCAGACTCTAAATTAAACCTGACCACAAAGAACAGCTTTTACTGCTGAAATTAGCAAGCATGTCAATTTAGGCTTAAAACAAGCTATTTTCCCCTCTAATGAACAAAATTCATCTCAGGCTATTGTGAAACCTGTTCTCTAGTTGGGTGATTCTCTAATTCTGCTGACAGACACATGCTTTGTAAGCACCCGAGAAGATTATTAATGACATCCTTTAAAGAGACCTTGTAAAAACAGGAAGACCTTCACAATTGTAATATAGCAGTGCATTCCTGAACAAAATCACAAATCTTTATTACATCCCTTGGTCAAGACATACAAACATTCATTTCAAAAACAATCTGTGAAATAAAGTATTTTGCTGTGGAATTCACCAGAAACTAATATTCTCCCTCAAAAGTATGTTTTCTATATGGTAGAATAAGAGCATTCTTTGATTTTCTTTACAGAAAAAAGGAAAGGATTTGAATAATCAGTGCATTTAAGTATTTTTCATTTGTATATTATAAAAATAACAACCAAAAGATATTTTGTAAGAAACAGAGCACCAAAATATAATGTGAATGAAGGTTATTTTTCATTTATTTTCCCTTTATGTATATTTTATTTATTTGCTTTTATAATTTCTTTGACTCAGCATCTTAAATGAATTCCACAACTTGTCAAATGCAAGGAGTTTTATTTATCTCCTAAGTGTTAGAAAACTTGATTAAATCATTATTTGAACTACCTATCTCTTAATTATCTGTCTTCAAAATTCCATTCTGTGACCCCCATGTACTGTTCTTACCTGATGCTACCCTCTCAAATACAGTGCAACATTAATCTACATCCTCAGATGATATCAGGGTGCCTCTATCTTTCACCTTCCTCAGTGTAGCTTTACTCATGTTAAACAAGTAGAATGCTGAATGCTCTTATTTATTTCTCTGCTATGAGCTAAGATATTTATTTCATATTTACATGAACCAAACTACAGCCATTACATGCTTAATAGTACTTAAGCATTATTATTTATCATGTCTACATGGATTCTATCATTCTACCAGAAACAAACACAGGAAAAGGAACTGATGCTATTTCTAAAAATGCCTAAGGCAGCTATCAGACTTTACTACAAACAGCTTACCCCTTGGAGATGAAAATTCATCATGGATTCCACTAGCTGAGCAAAGGTGGAGGGAAAAAATAACTTCAAATACAAAGTGAATCAGAAGTCTTTAATCCTATTAAATCCCCCCTAGGTTTGAGGGAAGCGGTTATAAATAGCAATCCTATAAAAAAGGAAGTTAAACACCGAAACCATATATACTATAAAGTAGGTCATTTTAGGTTCTTAGAAAAATCTATTATCATACTCCTTTAAAAAGGAATTATACCTTAATAGTATTAAAGTAGAAAAATCTAGACTGAATTGAACATTTAATTCTCATATATCTAAGGAAAGGTCTTAATCAAGGTGTTTTTTC